TAGCCATATAATTCATTTTATCATGTTCATTGTGTCCCACGATCATTATTATAACACTATAAAACCAAACATTCATTGTCCCACTTACGGGTATAGAAATAATAGCTTTCTTGCTTTTCCTTTCCATTTAGCAATGTCACACATGGTCCTTTTATTGCCATAGAACATAGAACTTTGATTCTCCATTAAAAGTATTTCATTTATGACCTTGAAGTAATCAAAATGATAGCATAAAGTAGCTTTAATAGTGGTCCAGTAAAGATTTCCAGCTAAAAACAAAGTACAACCTAAGTTCAGCCATTTTCTTGGGTAACACCTTTTCCGGTTGCAAAGAAAATTCTTCCGGTTTAGGGAGGGTGCAGTTCGGCTGGAAGTATGGTAGGCTAGCAGTACTAGACTCTCTCAAATCTTTAAATTGTATCTAGGCAGCAGTATTGTGCCATATTACTTCTCATAAGCCACTCGTAAGAAGAAAAAAACTTAAGCTTCTTCAGCCTTATTGGCACAGAAACCACGCCTCTATTGATAATTGGCAATTTTATTGGATTTCTTAATGCATAATTTTTTGTTTGCTGCCTTATGCATGATCTCTTAGGCAAATAAAATTTATCAAGACAATAATATCTGTGCCATCATAGTATATACGTAGGTGTTAGTTTTTAAAGCTCTTTTGACTTGAGTCAGTGCAAAACATACACTATTAATTGAAAGCAATGCAGAATCATGGTCATTATCTCTATCATGCTGCATAATAGAGATAAAGCCCATGATTCATTGCTTTTAATAGTGCATGAATTCAAAAACAACTGCGGCGAGTCCAAGCACCATAGGTGTCTCGTCACATATATTTTTTGAGAATGGCTAACTATGTACATGTAGTACCAGTTGCATTTAGCGTTCCTGGGTACATGTACATGTGTACTAACATAAAACCATCAAATATTGCCTTGGCTTTAAAGATTAGTTTAATTACATTAAAACCAGCATAATAAATAGCTAATAATAATTAATAATAAAATAGCTAATAATAATAATAATAATAATAAATCAATAATTACTTCTTGTTAATATAACCCTGTGGGTTCTTCACTTGCCACCTCCAAGCATCAGAACACATTTCTTCAATATCCTTCAATGCCTTCCAACCCATTTCCCTCTCAGCTTTACTAGCATCAGAATATGACACAGGAACATCTCCTTCCCTCCGTCCAACAACTTTATATGCTACCTCCCGCCCACTCGCCTTCCTCATTCCACCGATCACCTCAAGAACTGAATAACCACGACCCGCCCCGAGATTAAATATCTGAAGTCCACAGTTTTTATCAACTAGATTGAGGGAGCTCACGTGACCTTTGGCAAGGTCAATAATGTGTATGTAGTCCCTGATCCCAGTTCCATCAGGTGTGGGGTAGTCCTTACCATACACACTCAGCTCTTTTAGTTTACCGACT